AGGGGGGGGGGGGGGGTGGAAATTGGTCTATCCCATTTTGAAAGAATTAAGGTAATTTCCCTTGTGACAGAATACACATGTCACATTAAAATCCCATAAATCTTTTTATTTTTGTGTAAGTGCTTGTTCACTGGTTCCATTCTTCCTTTCTGGTGTTTTTGATCCAGTGAAAGTAGAATAAAATAAAAATAAATAAAAGAGCATATCTGATGTGACATAATTAATGTTGAAATATTGAATCCCGACACGATAGCGTGCATTTCGACATTTATCGTATCGTATCGTATTATACTATCTTATCTGAGATTAATTAGTGGACCTTTCGGTTAAAAAACCTGTATAATTTCCTGTTAAATTGAACATGAAACTGTTCAAGAAAATAACTCAGCTCTCGAAGAAATAAGGCCATTACTTTAAAAGCACCCGATCGAAACAGAAAGAGAAATAACAATGCCGTCGTCTGCAGTAAAATACAGTGTCTTCTTCATTTTGATTTCGCCGTATTTCATCCGTGGTATTTTAGCTATGAAGTGTATGCCTAAGTAAGTAGTTTAACAATATCAATTTGAATTGTGAATAATATTACTATGTATTTTCTGTTTACAGTCAAACTGTTGTAACTGTCCATTTAGCCTAGTAATAATTATGAGCTAGGCTACAGCAGATGTACTTTAAATCAGTAGACACGCGCTAGACCTGCTGTTGCAACAGATTTTTTTTCTATAAATAAAAAAAAGTTCTTCCACGATTTTTCTATTTTGTTTTTGCCCCTGTTTATTTATTTATTTATTACCTCCGCCAACAATGTTGGCAGGAGGTTTTGTTTTTGCCTGGTTTTTTATTTAGTTATTTATTTGTCTGTCGGCATATTTGTTGTGCCATAGCCCATAGTTTTTATCAGAATTAGCCACAACGTTCGTTTACCAAGATCTAGAGCTGATTAAGTTTGGAAGGGTCAGGGTCAAAGGTAAAGGTCACAATCAACGAAAAACTATTTTTTTTATTGGTCTACAGCCCGTAGTTTTAATCACAAACTTGTCAACTTGGTCACAATGTTCCATGACCAAAGATCTCATTACCTCCAACAATGAAGTTGACAGGAGGTTATGTTTTTGCCCCTGTTTATTTATTAATTTCTCGGTTGGCATATTATTTGTTTTGAACAGCCTACAGCCCATAGTTTTTATCAGAAATACGTCAAACTTGGCCACAACGTTCCTTTACCTAAGATCTAGAGCTGATTAAATTCTAAAGGGTCAGGGTCAAAGGTCAAGGCCACAATCAACTAAAAACTTTTTTTTATTTATTTGTCTGCAGCCCATAGTTATAATCACAAACTTGTCAAACTTGGTCACAATGTTCCCTGACCAAAGATCTCAAAGTATTTGAATTTTGAAGGGTAATGGTTAAAGGTCAAGGTCGCAATTTTTTGAAACAGTTTTTATCAGAAATTTGTCAAACTTGCCAGAGATCTGGAAGTGATTAAATTTTGAAGGTTCAGGGTCAAAGTCAAGAACACAATAATCGAAAAACTTGTATTCTGTTTGCAAGCGATGAGACAAAAAATAATTATATCTCTTAGATAATTTATTCTTTTTGGAATTTAACAATTCATTATCTAGATAAAGAAAAGTTCTTTTATTTGTTGAAAATATCCAACAAACCCAAAACTTTATTATAATATTTTAAAGTTGTGATTAGGTTGTATCAGAATTTAACGTTGAAGTAAAAGTTTGCAACGATATTCAGTAAGGATTCACATTACAAGTGCATATGTTATAGTTTTAAAACAGCTTGGAACACAAAACGGCAACACAAATCATTAGTGTTATTTAACTGTTATTAGATTGGTACTTGGTATTTTCCTTTAGGTTACAAAGCGCTTTGTTTTCACTGGTGATTAGGTCCACATGTGTTGCTGCCATATTTGCCTCTACCATTACCAATATTTAATTCTGGTGGAGAAAAGATGTGCTTGCCAATTGGACACAAGCGAAGAACGGCGAGGATTAAAACCCTGGCATCCATGCTGTGAAACCAAACAGTTCACGCTGCGCCAAAAATGCTTTTACACAAATTATAACATTTTTAAGACACATTGTTAGCCGGGTAAAACATACTCGCAAGGGGGCATGTAGTTGTGTATGATATTAAGAATCACACGCCATAAATTATAAGCTGATGTAGTCCTAAAAGTGTGCTGTATTAAATGATGGTGAGGAGTCAGAATGGTTTAAATTGGAAACAGGAGTCTTTCCATATGATTCCAACACACTTTTTTGCCCGACCCCCTTGAAATCGTCCAATATTTTGCTTACTCGATGATGTCTGGACTAGTGAGAGTTATATAGGTCAAGCCACGAGACCTTGAACTTTGACCAAAAATATCACAAAAATATATATATTGATATATACCCCCCCACCCAAAAAAAGAGCTACATTGAACGCAACGTGACACCCCACTGAAGAGAACACTTAAAATAACCTATGGTAAAAATTACCAAAAGAAAGATCGCATATCTTGCACCGATGATTTTTTACTGATCTAACGTGACCTAATAAGTTGTATAGTTAAGAAATAACGAGAGTAATTTCTAAAATAAATTGAAACTGATGCTAAACCGAAAGTCAGAAACAAAGGGTAAATGTAAAGGTAGGTGAATAACCCATAACTTGCAACGTCACTGTGCTGAATTGCGTATGGGCGTGGTCCGTGACTACCTAGCAGCCGTAAAGAGGCGCTCCTTAGTAGACACATGTTTTACATCATTCCCCAACGACAGTGAAATGAACCATAACATCGGGGTAACCCCTTCCCCTCCGAAAGATGCAATTGGTTTTTTAAAGTGCACACGAGCAAGATGTATACACTGGACCTCCATTTTAAGTGATCCTTATCCGAGAAGACTTGGTTCTACCAAATGAACCATGGGCGAGGACCAGCGCCGATTTTAAGGCTGTAGCTACCGGCGCCCCTGCCTTACCGCTCGGAAACTCGACTAGCCTGTTACGTGAAAGCTTACATTTGAAATTCATTTCGCTGATATTTGATACAATATATTGACACACATGTCATTAGTATCACCCTTAATGCATAAAAGCGGGAAAGCCAACATTCCTTTAGCAAATATTTTACTACCGATCTTTGAACTATAGTACTTTGTTATAAAATTGTCGTCGTTTAACGTGAATTGTTGATTTATCTATCATTAAATAGTAAGACTTACATAGATGCATGCGGTGTGGACATATGCTTCTTGAAAAAGAAATGTGAAGATTGTGATGATCCGTGTCTGACAAACCTTAGTCCGTTTTCCAAAGAAAGTAAGGTTACGTTTCTATTAAATTATCAAACTACTTAAAAATACATTGTTTGGAGAAAAAAGGGGGAGAAAATCCTTCGAATATCCATTCACTTAAAACAATGAATTGCTCATTAACCCCTATAAGATATATGTATATTTTACAAAAAAAATATTTTAGCAAAAAATAATTCATGATGACAGCATTTCTGATGGCGAAAGAAAATAATTTTATTCTATTCGAGCATTAGGGAGGAATCAATAATGTAAACTAGGTCCATATACATTCAATTCCATCATACAATAAAAAAGACGAAATTCTCTGTCGAAGAAGGAATTCTTTATCATTATATATATATATATATATATATATATATATATATGTATATATATATATAGTAGATAATATCGAATCTTTTTTAAATAAATTAGTTTGAACTTATATATATATATATTTTTTTTTTCTTTATAAATTAACACGTGATGAGGGGTTAACATTTTAGAAATCACAAGGTGGTCACATATTTCGTTGATATGCAAATAAGCTCGAATATGCAAAAAATATATTGCCGCGCCCCTTTTTCATTGCAAGTAAGCTACAACAGCAGGCTACACTTAATGTACATATTGAAAACAAGGATTTAATTAAATTAGCTTAATTGTACAAAAAAAAGGAGTCATGCCACTTTTTAACTGGAAATGCAATTTTAAACAATAGGCTAGTATCTGAACATATTGCAAACAAGTGTTTTTCTTGTATAAATGAACACATATAATGAGGGGATAACATATCAGAAATCAATGTGGTCATATGTCTCGTTCATATTCAAATTAGCTAAAATATGCCAAAAAAAATAGGGGTCATGCCCAATTTTTCAATTTTGAAGTGCCAATTTAAACAGTATGTTTGTAAACATGCAAACATGAGTTTTTCTTTTTAAGTGAACACATGATGAGTGGATGAATTTCAGAAGTCACACCATGGCCATATCATGTCTTATTCATATTAAAAAAATGTTCAGGTTGTTTAGCCTACTGTTTAAAGTAGCACTTACATTTTAAAAAGGGGCGTGCCCTCTATTTTTTACATATTTAAGTTAATTTAAATATGAAGAAGACATATGTCATGCCCATGGTGTGACTCCTGAAATTTTATCCACTTATCATGTGTTTATTTATAAAAGAAAAAAAAATGTTCAGATTGTCCTTGTTTTTAATAAATTCATAATGCCTAGCTTTAAAGTACCGTAACACTTCCAAAGAAAAAGGGGCGTGGCCCCTATTTTTTGGTGTATATTTACCCTAATGTGCTTATGAATGTTATTCCCTTATATATGTGTTCATTTGTAAGAGAAAACCTCTTGTTTGCAATATATGATTTTCTAGTCTACTATTGAAAGTAGCACTCCCAGTAAAAAATGGGGCGTAGCCCCTATTTTGCATTTAACCTAATTTTCATATGAACGGGACTCGTGATTAAGGTGAGATTTCTGAAATTTGATCCCTTCATCATATGTGTTCTTTTATAAAAGAAAAACCCTTGTTTTCAATATGTTCATAAAGTCTAGCCTACTGTTTATAGTATAATTTCTAATAAAAAAAAAGTGGGGGGTGGGGGGAGGTGGCCATTTTTTGGCTTTTCGTCCTGGATAGAGGTTTTGGCACACATCCCATGTTGTTCCTAGGGTTCATATTAGTCTATAACATTTGATATACTCTCTCCTAAATTAAATGCATACAAATCTTAGTCAGGTCCTCTACTAGAAGGAACTTTTCGACGATGGGGTATGCTTGATAGGATTATTACAAGATATTCCTATTCGATCACTATTATTTAATATTTATAACTATTTAATAGATTTACGGTGCAGCAAACTTAATTTGATTATTATCTGTGATATATGATATATGTGATATCTGATACACACACACACCCACACCCACATCTCTTCGGAGATCTAATACGCATGCGCATGATTACTGGTACTGGTACTGGTATGGACATTTATAATGCGCCTCTTCCTTGCGGTTTCCCTGGTCATTGGGTCCACATGCTAAGTGTTGCTGCTGATTGTGAAGGAATTAGGTACTTCAATCGGATTTGAAATCCCACCAAAGCCTCAATGGCCTAGTAGATAAGACGTCTGCATGGACAGCAGAATGTCCTGGGTTCGAATGGTTTAGACAATATGACGTTTACTTTTCCTGATTTTATATTTATAGATTGCGAGAAGTTGCCTGAATCGTGCAAAATCCTGAAAGAAGACGAACAAAGTTTTTGTCGCCGAAAATGTAGAGAAGGGTTAAACGATGCTGGCATGTACTGTAAGAAATGTTGATCAATTTTTGAAATATACTTTCTTCTACTACTATACTACTACTATCCAAATATTAGTTTGACTGCTAATCCCTAATATTGTGGTCTAAAGGCGTATTTTGGACCATACTAAGCTCTCCCCGTGAACTCTACATACATAGGAGTTTTTATTCCTGGCCGTCGACCGAGGCTTCGTCGACCCCTTTGCTCGAACCCCTCCTTTGGACATGTCGGACCCCTTGTCAGCAATTTCTGGCACCACCCTTGACACTGCACAACCACTACCGCTACCACTGCCGTTGCCGCTGCCGCTGCTGCTGCTACCACCACCACCCCCACTATTACCACAACTTCCACTTATTACTGCAGCTACTACTGCTGCTGCTAACTATTGCTACATCTCCACTACTGCTGGTAGTTACTGGCTAATTCTGGCATCAAAATTATGTCCTAAAAATATAAAACAAATGTTATTCACATTGTTTAGATTCTTCATGATTATGTAAGCCTTTGTTGTTATGGGCAGCTTGCAAATCCAGGTAGAAATGGTTGTGCAGTTCTTACCACTGATCCGTATATTATACGGGTGGGGTTGAATAGCATTAGGGATGTCCGAAAGAGGTGGGCCCGAAAAGGGGACCGAAAGTGGGACCGATTGGGATAACTGTACCATAGGGGGTCCGGGGCGTGCCCCCCGCGAAATGTTTATGTTCTAGACGCCTGAAAATAAATAAGAGAATTGGCTTATAAAGCATCATTCCACTCCATCCAGTAAGTGGTGAGTGTACCGTACTTGCTTTTGGATGTGAAGAAAATAAAAATAATAAAAAAAAAATGGCTGGACTGCTCATTAGCAAGTTTTGATAAAGCCACTGACACCATTTTGGGAGCCCAAACGTCACAATTACGTCATCAAATAGCAGAATTTTTGAACCCAACATAACAACGCGACATCGCTCGCACTTTGTGTAAACTGCACAATTAGGCGCCTTGAGTGGTTAAGATGATGTGAAATATATCATTTCATAAAATTTAAATTTATTATTTAAAATTCTTGCAAGAACCCTATTTTCAACTATAATTTGAAACAAATGCAAAAAAAAAAAAATGTATGGACTGGTACATCAATAGGGCCTTGCATAATATGGCGTTGATGAGCAATTCATCCATTATGATATATATATAGAGATAGATAATCATTTTTTCTTTTGTCGATCATATTTTTGACTTCTTGTGGAGGGGCGCCATGAGCGTTTTCTTTAAACGGATACCGGCGCTTTAAAAGTTTTCATTATTATTATTATTATTGTTATTGTTATTGTTATTATTGTTATTGTTATTGTTATTGTTATTATTATTATTATTATTATTATTATTATTATTATTATTATTATTATTATTATTATCATTATTATATCTTAATGATAAAAACTAATTGAACAGTATTATTTTTGTTATTCCATATACTAAAGATGATAGCTCCAATACTGGTAGCACTGTGCCCGTTGGGGCTATTATAGGGCCGTTGTGCTTAGTTATCGTGGTGATAGCAAGTCTCATCACAGTTTGTTATTGGATTCACAAAACACAGCAAGGAAATGGGTAAATATAATGATAGTGAATGAAAAGGATATTGATGACAGTGATGAGGATGGGGATAATAATATTGATGACAACGATAATGCAATAACAACAAGATAATCTGAGATTATAAATCTTCACCTTGTCGCGCTACAGTATATTTATACACATTAATAGCATTTAATTGCACGCTGGCCGGCATGACATGCATGTGCTGCCAGCCAGCTGTCTCCTATGTAACGGGGTACCGGAACACTGAATATAAACGTAAATAGACTTATATCTCAAAATATCAGAAATGAATAGGATGTATTAGTAATCGATCAGGTAAAATACAAGACATATACACCTGGGGACAAGATATTTATTATAAACCGTGCCATAGTGCATTAAGATAGCTAGACTAAAGTTTATTCAACTCCTTGTAAACCCGCCAGAACAAAGTCCATGGCCTTGTTAGATATAGACCTACATTTACCTACTTCAATCAAAAAGAAAAATGAAAATGTTACATTTTTAATGCAAGATTGTACTTTACCCCTATCCATCAAATTGGAAAATAATTCCTCACAAGGACTATTCAACAGAAACACTCACCGAAAACGTTATCTACAAAGAGGTCCTTTAGAAAAATATTGACACGATAACCATAACATCCTGAATGTTTACCTCCTCAACTTTCCATTTTTAACTATATACCTCGCCACCTTTCCACATTCATCCAACACCGTGCGGAGCACGGGTATATATTAGTTATCTATAAAATCATAAGAACTGTTACAGTATACAATATTTATTTTCTATAACCCTCTCGCTCTTTGACTCCAGAGGAGACCCGGTGCTATGTTAGAAACCAACATAGCGAAGTAAAACTTGAATGATAATACTGTAATAATAATGATAACACTGTAATAATGATAATAATAATAATAATAATAATAATAATAATAATAATAATAATAATAATAATAATAATAATAATAATAATGATATTAATAATATTAATGATATTAATAATATTAATAATAATAAAAGGAGGGTTAGGCCTACTGTCGATTTATAAAAAATTCATTACAGAACACTCATTTTTAAAAATCAATTTTTTTTCAAAGATCGAAATCAAAGTCCATTGTGAGGTATGCTCCTCATAATCAGAAAGTTGACTTCGAAGGTAAGACGTCTTTACCAAATCATCAACACCAGTTAAATTTGTTTCAACATGTTTGATTGCAAGATAATCTACTTGGTCTTATTATTACCAATATAATGATATATTTTCTGCATAAATACTTTTTGTGGCACTAAATAAGATGGACCAATGATAGTAAAAAATGCTTATAATATTGATTATATTGATAGAGATAACAATAATGTTAATGATATGAAAGAATACCTTGAAGGTTATTAACTAGAAAGTGATAGTGATAATGATGAAGATACATATTAATACTGGTAGTGATAGTGGTATTGATAATGATATTAGTGTAATGATAATGACGACAATACTAATTCATCGATGTATTCATTTCAATTTCTGATGATTGCTTTCGTTTGCTTAAAAATACACAAAGTTTAAGAAAAAAAAAACCCTATTCAACTGTCTATATTGTCTTAAAACATATATATTTACTTTATATTTTCTTAAAAGGTCAAACGAGTGTTGCGACTCAGCCACTGCCACCCATACCTGTAGAGAATAACTGTATTCCACCCACCTTACAACAGAATACCTACGAACAGATTGATCCACAATACACAGACCTCAAACAAGACAAGAATGCTACAGCTTATACGACCCTCCAACCAAACAGTGATTCAATACCTAATTGCAACGCTTTGAAAACAATTAAAGCTAAAAGCGAAACGTTGTTGAACACAAATATCTTAAAGGATAAACCTACACCTGCGTATTACACTATGCAGAGAGATGACAATAGTGACGTCAATGAGAAGTCGCACACAACTGATGCTAATGATGATGGAGAAGCTGACGATTATTTTGCGAAGTTGAGGCAGAATGATATTGAAAAGGAATCGTACAGTAAATTAAATCACAATTCGTGCAAAAGTGTTCCGGATGACGCAACTGGTGACTACAACAAGCTGATCTCCACCCCTGCGTTTGACGAAGAGTCGGAGGAATATTCTCATCTTAGGACATCTCCAAACGTGGATAAATGCGTCACGGATCCTGGCTACGGTAAACTAAACCTCTCAATAGAATCAGGTGAAAGTACAATTAAACCGAATGATGGTTATGAAGAAACTTTACCGAGTGAAGTTAAAACTGAATATGTAACTCGTGAAAGTTCACAACAATTTAAAGACGACAACCGCTTGCGGAAATCCAGGGCGGAAAAAGCAAATTTGAAAAATGGATACGAAGAAGCAATTATTAGAAGTTCAGATCAACTATAAGGCAGTACCGATTCGGGAACAGACAATACAAAAAATGGATATGAAGAAGCAATTGTTAACCAATATAAGGACAATTGAAATCTCGGTGTAAATTTTGGTATATAAAAACCAAATCGTATACTTCCATGCCGTTTGACCGCCTTACATGTGTTCCTAATCATGGAGAAAGGCCTACCGCCTGTCTTTCAGAGAGAAAAAAATATAGAACAGTAATAAGCCATTTTTCAATGCGGGAGAGGAGAGAAGGGTTGTTGATTTTTTTTTTAAATCGACACAATGAAAATGTGTGTGTGTGTGTGTGTATGAGTGTGTGTGTTGGGAGGGAAATTCACAATGCTGAAATCTCTGTCTCGAGTGGCAGATTGTCGTAGATTAATTTGTGACATGGTGGTTCTCTGACGGGGTCTCTATTTGCCAACTCTTTGACAGTAAATAAAGTTGATATCTCGAAATTGGCCTAACTAACCCCTTAATTGTTTCAAATACTTATAAAAGTTATAAGTCCTTGATTGTTCTGTCCACTATGAAATTATAAGCTATAATCACATAGTGTTCTATATGAGAAATTGTGAATTGGTGATAAAGAATAGGGTAAACAAGTAATGCTTAACTATATGTAATTCTATATCTTTAATAATCTACCCAGGAAAGATACTGTTAGGAATTTGGCATATCTGCAATTACTATTCCTCTATATTACTTCTAAGCATTTAGTATCACATTAGTAAAGCAGCTTTAAATAAAATTCATATTTACCTGCATATACTGTAATAGGCTTTATAGGTTTATAGGCAAATGCGTCTAGAATACTTGTTTTGCAGATGGATGTACCGTATATATAAGAGCAAAGAATTAGTTTATACAGTATATACGTAAACAGCTTGCAAATAAACTGAATTGCTACTACTGCTACGTATCTCGAATGTCACCTTGATTGTAGGCACTCGATAAAGATTTAGAATCGATTGAAATCCATACAAGATCTTAAAGAAAATTGGTGAAAGCTAATAGATAATATTACTTGAATATTATATATATTTATATATAATTAAAATGATTCTGCGACCTCTATATATTAGTTAAGTTGATACTTTTAACTTATTAGTCGTCCATCTACCGATGAAGAACCAGGGACGTATCCAGGGGAGCCGTGGAGCCGGGTCTCCCCCCCCCCACCCATTTGTAGTGTTAAAATTTTAAAGCTTGTTCTTGAGCCAATACATACTCTTTCCTGGGAAAAATGAATACTTCTAAAACATGTAAATATGCAGTACGGTACGTTATACATATAGGCCTAATAGAACACATAGGCCTAAGCGTGATTTAAAAAAAAATCTTAAATCCATAAATATTAGGCCAGGTCTTTTAAGATATAGAAATGTGATACTGATGCTTCAGTTTGGTTTTTATTATTTTTAAGTTTCTTTAATAATACCGTACTACTGCTACTACTACTAGTTATAATAAAAGTAATGATGATGATGATGATGATGATAATGATGATGATGGTGATGATGATGATGATGATGACGACGATAGTAATAATTGATAATAATATAATAACTTTAAAAAGTGAAGAAAATGTTGCTAAATGCGAAAAAAAGTTGTTGTTTGTTGATCATTAATTATTATTATAGTTAAGTTAAAGCTTAGTAAGTATAGTTAGGCCTAAGTTTTCCTGGATATTAAGTAGATCCCTGATGAAAGATCATGAGAAATTTGTGGGCGTTTCATTTTGACTATATAATGGTGATGGGATGATGATGAATTTTACTATATAAAAGCGTCATTTACAGTCATCTAGAGTTACTATTTCCTCAAATTTTCTCACATCAGCCCCAACTATGGTGGGGCTGAGGTGGTTGAGAAATCACGGTTTTGAAGTATGTAAAGTACTAATAAATACAATGTTTTAAGCATTGTTTTCTATGGTATATTACACACACATTATTAAGATCTCTGTGGTTGCCAAATATCCATGATATACGATCATGAGAATTTTTTTGGCGCTTCGTTTTGACTAATGGTGATTTGATGATGATGAATTTTAATAAAGATTTATTTCTAGCCACCTAGAGGTACTATTTCCTTAAATTGTCTCACCTTAGCTCCAACCATGGTGGGTCTGAGGAGGATGTTGGCTCACAAAAAACGTCCTCCCCTCGACCTTTCAAAACAGATCTGTGCCCTTCCATGGGTATGACATTAAACTCCATCGAGTCGGCATCTGACTCAGAGTATGTCTAAGTGACTGCTGAGGCGAAGGTCCATACATTTGTTTTTAGCACGTGATTAGGTTTATCATGCCTATTTTTCGTGATTATGACTATTTTGGATAAAGAATGTTTTGAGCAGAGGTGGATTGAAGGCCCGCCCCTCCCCTCATTTTTTAAGGGAAAAAAAAGAAAAATATATTCAAATTTAAGTGTGAGAGTGTAATTTCCGGCCATCTAGAGATACCCTAATTATAATTTTCTTACCTTAGCCCCAACCATGGTGGGTGGTTCCTCGGTCTGTGAAAGTCCATCCCTGGTTCACCCCTCTTTCGAATTCCTGGATCCGCCACTGTTGATTAATTATATAATTATTGTTGCGCTTATTTATAATGCATCTTTTCAAATTTTCACTATATTCTTTCAAAACAGTCCTAAGAACGTACAGAGTGCGCAGGGGGAAGTCGCCCTCTGGATCCCGCCAGGGTCCTACGTAATTCGCATAACGGCTTCCCCCTCTTCAAAATTCTGGTTATGTCCATGTGAAGACCAAAAAAGGACCGTTGAAAATATTCATAAAACAAAAGTTTTATTTTCCAAGAGCCAATGGCCAATAATGATCGGCCCTTGTGTCTAAAGGTTGTATCGTTTATTATCCATTTTAAAAAATATTTCGTTAAACTGTGAGTTGAGGTTAATAGAGGTTAGCTTCAAATGGTTGCTTGCTGAGAATATATGAATATTCTTCCATTCGGTCTGATACATCTATTACTACATTTTAAATTTAAACTTAAAACTCATCTCTTTAACAGCGTGGCTTCTTAACATACACTGCGCATTTGATCATTATTCTTGGAATCGGCGCATTACAATTTGTTTATTATTATTATTATTATTATTATTATTATTATTATTATTATTGTTATTATTATTATTATTATTATTATTATTATTATTATTATTATTATTATTATTATTATTATTATTATTTTGTCTGAAATCATAAAATTCGAAACAGCTGTTTGCTTAAACACTTGTAACTTCATTGTAAAATTTTGGATTAAAATGATTCTTTTACCATTTTATTGCTCTCATTTTCATCTTCAACCCTATAATAATAACTAAAAATTGATTTTTTGCGACGAGTGACTGGTTTGGCTTGTCTGCCACAAATATTGTTTTCCACCCACTTTCAACATGATGGAATTAATGAGGCTTTTAAATTATTGATTTCTCTATCACCTAATAAAGCAACGGGTATGGATACCTTCAGCGTCGTACATTGCACAGGTGATAACGCACTATTATATACCATTCTGACACTACAGGTACATTTCATTAGTTGCTTAAAATTGCAAGGTTTAATCCTTTGTTTAAGACGGGAGATCGTAGTGATTTTAGCAACTACCGGCCAATATAAATAAGTGTACTCCCTATAATTCGAAGATTTAATCAGTTATATAAGTTCTTGAAAATAATCGTATCTGTTGTTTTCAGTCTGGTTTTCGACCATTGCACTCAACATTTACATCTCTTAGGCCTATTTATGTATCTAAACAGTGGATAGATTTTGTTGACAAAGGCAAAGTGATTGGTTTAGTCACGTTAGATCAAAAGTGTATTCGAATCGGTTAACCACAAAATACTGTTGTATAAGTGAACTTGGGTTGGATAATATGTATTGCTGTGTCTTAAATCATATCTTTCAAACAGAAAACAGTTTACGGTCATCGTGGAAGAGGCTAGATCCGAGATTCAGAACGTAGATTTTTGTGTCCTACAAGGGATTACATTTAGGTACTCCTTTTCTCGATATTTGTTAACGGGCATTTACACTGAAAAAACAAGTTTAAATTACCTTACAGACCATATTCCAAATAAAACACGATTTTAAACGTTATTTCAGATTTTCTTTTCAAATTGTGTCTTGTCCTGTAATGTTAACATGCATGATACCGTAAACAGTTACGCTGTGAGAACTTGTAAAGAGGTTAGTGAAATGTTAAATATTGATCTTGTAAACGTAAATAATTGACTTAAACAGAATAGACTCACGTAAAATACTAAGAAACATGAAATAATGCTAATTGGTTTTCAACAGAAATTAAGAAATTGATTTTTAATAGGGAACTTAACATTAAAACGAAACGGGAAGTGAGTGATTATCTTAAACAAGTCGAATCATGCCATTTTAGGGGTTATAAATGACAGATATTTAACCAGTTGTTTTAGTATGCTTTAATGTTTACAAGCGTATTGGTGCTTTAAAAGGGGCTAAATGTTTCGTCCCAAAAACGATTATTTGATGACTTTATATAATTCTATTATATTGCCACATTTTAATTACTGCTGTGAAATTTGACGCAACTATGGGGATACTTTAGCTTCAAAAACTTGAAAAATTTCAAAATAGGGCGGAACGTGTAATGTTTGACTGTGAATAGGATGTGTCAACTGAGACAGTGTATGTTAGACAATTTGGATTGGCAAAGTCTTTGTATTGGTAGGTCCAGCAAAGTGTCAATTTGTATATATAAAGCATTCAACCTACTTATGACCTTGTATTGGATTGACTTGGACTTATTTAGTGTAAACACCAAGGATAGCCCACGAAAGTCTAGAAGAAGACTTATTTACAGTGGGGTTTTTCTGGTGGTGGTGATTGGGCCAAGGACTTTTAACTGTTACCAGGATAGGAAGCTGGCTGGTTTAAGCCGTCTAACTTGAATTAGCCTTATGTGCGGTATTGTTATGCAAATGAGCCAGATAAGCACAATCTGCACATACTCAGAAAAACAAAACTTTCCTTAGCCACACGATGGCCACTCTGTATATCGGCTAGGCGTACAACTAGGCCTAACCGAGAATTACGGTACGGTAAAACAAAGCAAAACAAGGGTAATAATTGCACTTGGCATGCAAATCAATCATATTTACACACTTAAAAACAAACTAGTCTACCAATAAAATCACCTGCAAGTTAAGATATAAGGCAAGTATGTCAAATTTGATTTTAAATTGATGTGATTAGGCTAGCCTAGACCTAGCCTAGGCCATGTCTAACCGCCTATAAAAATGCAGAAAAAAGACTCAAAACAAATTAGAATTAAGTTATCAACTAACTAGTGCATTAAAATTATTCATATACTTACTACTTACCTATATAAAATTAAAGTGTATTGCTCACAAACGCCAATATTTGGATTTTAATACGCCTTTTCCACGAATTGGTAGACATCTTGAAGTGATGACAAACAGCCTAAGTACTGTCTCTTATACACATCTAGATGTGTGTAAGAGACAGATATATTTGTGTGTGTGTGTATATATATTTAAATATTAATAATGTTAATGTCTCCTAGTAGGTTTTGAATTGTATATTTTCTTGTCTTGAAATTTGCGACTTTTTTAATAGTTTTAATGAACATTAACCAAGGTTCTTATATACATGCATTTCATATTATTTCCTTTCTTAATAAAATCATTATTGATGATGATAAAACTGTCATGTAAGTTAACGTGTTTGCCGGCCAAGCCTGTGTTATGAATAAATAGCATAAGCGCATCTTGATTGTTTCCTTCTTGTTAAATATCCTGTTATTAATATTCAACTGTTCAAGGAAATAACCAAAATACCACTCAAAGAAAAATAGTCATTACTTCAAAAGCACCTGAAGCAGTAAGAGAAATAGCAAAGTCACAATGCCGTCGTCTTTAGTAAAATACGAAGTTTTCTTCATCTTAATTTCATCGTATTTACTCCGTGGTAATTTAGCTAAGATGAATAAATCCGGTGGGTAAGTAGTTTAACAATATCAGTATAAACTATAGATAATAGGCCTACAACTTGGTATTGTCTGCTTACAATCAAACTGTTGTAATTTAGTCTAGCTTCAATTGTGAACGGCTAGATGTACTTTAACCTCAGTAGACATGGGCTAGACCTGCTTTTGCGGTCACAACATATTTTTTTTTAATACTTGAAAACGTATTATCACGAATTTCAATTGTTTAAATGAAAATATATTCCAAACAATCGTAGAGCAACAAAATTAATTATCATTATATATCTTTCGATATCTGTTCCTTATTAAAATTGAACAATTCATTATATAGTTGTTTAAGTTATACCCTACATGATTATAAAGCTATTTAGTTAGAATTGATGACGTTTTCTAAAAAAAAAAACAAAAAAAAAAAATCGATTTTAACACCAAATTAGTATTATAGGTATAACGTTATTATGACCAGTGGTAGATCAAGAAAAACAAGGGGCCCTGAGGGGGACTTTGACAGATAGAAAATCTGGACCACCGCAGCACCATGATGGTTGAGGTTGAGATAAGAAAATTTATGATTATGGCACCTCTTAAAGACCAAAAATGGCACTGTCAGACTTAAGTTTGAATATATTTTTAACCTTATTTTTCCATATAATTTCGAAAAATTAAGGGGTGGGGGCACCTGTGCCTTTTTGAATCTGCCGCTAATGACGTAACACGGTTAGCCGGGAGAACATTGGGCAAGGGAACAACTAGATGTGCACAAGATAAACTATAATTTGATGTAGTCAACAGTCATGACTCATCAGACTATAATTTAGTAATTTATAGCTAACTTTGTTATAAATTATAAACAAGTTAGCAGTTAAAATGGGCAACAAATATTGCCTAACAGCATGCTGATTACAGCAAACTCACTTTGGTGGTATTTGAAAACAGACCCTTCCTATAATTAATACGACAGAGGCACATCAGTTAATGTATGATGATGATATATTTAGAGAGTGCAGAATCAACGGTCATCAAAGAATACGCGGAAGTATTTTTTAATTTATTGTAAACAACAAGTGGTCCGATGACATGCTAAATTAAACGCGACATCACACCATACTCAAAACGATTATAGGGCTAATGACAAAATTGCTCTATTCTTCAACATGACAATTCAAGAAGAAATTAAAACTGTCAATAAATAAAATAAATAGGCTAAGCCGAAAGGCAAGAAGAAAAAAAATGGGTAATAATGTATTTGAACTTTATTATACTACTATTGGCTATAATAAAAATAGGTACCCTAAAAGGTACATGTGGCTACTGAGGTCATAAAAAGAAATACTTGTGTGGCGCTTTTCATGCCCGTTCCAACGTTACATATCTCATATTCCAGTAGTACAGTGGGCCTATCATAGGGCATATTAAATTAACACTTTAATAACCCCCCCCCCCAAAAAAAAAGAAGAAATACTTGTGTATTCATTGTGTTATTTATTCATCTTAACACTGTATAGATTGTATTTATAATCCAAATTCTTTAGTTACACAAAAGAAAATGATATACTCTTAAGAGCCACGACGCGGCGCTTTTTTGAGCATTTAAGGTAATTAAAAACTATATAATCTGAATCCACGATTTTGTAACAAGATAGCAATAAAGGCTTTTATCTTAATTGTAAGTCGGTTTATTACAGAAAACATATTAAAAAAAAAAAATTTTCACTTGCAAATTGACACCTTATTGAACATTTCAAAAATTTTTGCTTGCAGTCTGGATGTTTAATTTTGTAAATGAAATTTTCCCAAATAGTTGTCTGTACTGAACACGATGGATCAATCATCATACATTGTGTAATATTTTTAGCCCAATTCTTGTGTTGAACTTTTTGGTTCCTGAAAGCTGTATAACCTTAGCTTTTCTGGTTACGACTTGAGTGTTGCTTACACTCGAATGCAAAGAATGTTTTGGGTTAATAAATTCCTAAATTTGGAATGGTATCTCTTCCAACTGCTTTATTTTAATGTTTGAGTTTATAAGAATATTGGTCCCAAAATCCCTCATCTTCACTGGACTTTGGTTTTCAATCTGGAATTCAGTGTGATATGAAGCAGAAAAAACAGTTTCTTGAAAATTGTCCGCAGTGGTTTGTAATTGTAATTGAAGTACTGATTTGTGTTTGTTTTTAACTGGAGATACAATATAAATGTAGGCTTCCCTTTTTTTTTTTTTTTTTTTTTGCCATATTTTTTAGTTCATTAACCTGAAATGATAAGGTATAAAATGCAAATTAAATTATTCATGGTGAAAAATTAGTGAAATATAAAAATGACCATGGCCTGGTTCTCGCGAGAGCCATAGTATCCGGATCGGGAGCTAACCGTTAGCGCTAACCGTTAGCACCTGCGAGAGAACGCCCGATCGGTTAGCGCTAACCGTTAGCGGTATCCGAATACGCTAACGGTTAGCAAGCACTATCGATAAGCAAGTTGAGGGCGTTTCTATCATCAACTAATCACACGTACGCGTTTACAATTTCCAGTTTCTTATTGGCCAGTGATTCGATCATCATATTGTTGGTATCCGGATCGGGATTTTTTCGCATGGACGCACGGCAGCTAACGGTTAGCAGGATCCGGATCCTGCTAACCGTTAGCTGCCGTGTGAGAACATAGCCTATAGATTTTTTAATGAAGCTTACATACCTTAAAGGCACCCTTGCAGTATTATTGTTTTACAATTTGCTGCCCGTTTCATAATGAAAATTAATTATATATATATATTATATATATATATATATGTATATATATAATTAATTTAAGATATGTATATGTATATACATTCTAATGTTTTAAATATATTATGTTACTATAATATTATATATTATATTATATTATATTATATATATTACATATAAATATGTATATACACATATATGTATATATATATGTTACTATAATATTATATATTATATATATGTATATCTATATGTATCTATATGTATATATATCTATATGTATGTATATATTTGTGTATATATATGTATATATGTATATATATGTATGTATATATATGTATGTATATATATGTATGTATGTATATGTATATATATATATGTATATATATATATGTATATATTTATGTATATATATGTATATATTTATGTATGTATGTGTATATGTATATATATATATATATATATGTGTATATATATGTATATATGTGTGTATATATGTATGTATATATGTATATTATATGTATATATATTAATATAGTTATTATAAATTATATATATATTATATATTAAGTATATTATATATATATATATTATATAAATTTGTTTCTAGTCGTACTTATTGTGTAATGGAGTGTATCTGGTGGTATTTGAATCTGTTTAACCATGAAGCCTCCATGGTCTAATGGTTATGACGCTCGCCTTGACAGCGAGAGGTCGCAGGTTCGAGTCCCGCTAGAGGCATTTTATTACACAATTTCTTTATTCATTTATTTACAGGACTACATTCGTTGAGAGTTATGCTACACGATGTGTTATTATGTCCTTTATTCGAACACTGTATTAACCTTTCTTTGATGATTTATGTATATATTATTATATATTATATATATATTCTAATGTTTTAAATATGTTATGTTACTATAATTTTTTTTAAATAAAATTTAAAAATATGACGGTACTTTTGAGAATGATCATTTCAGGCAATGATCTTCGCAAAAGTCGTTTCCGTATTGCAATTCCATCGGTAAAAGAAACGTTTGGCAAATTGAAACAAATAATCTTGGGAACAACATTGAATAATTGGCAGTTCTTGAGAAAGTTAATGTCCAACTCCGCCTTCTTTGATTTAACAGCTGTTTTCTCAAGCTTACGAAGATCGCCGATTGTCAGTTTCCCCTCATATTTGTGAGCAAAGTCATGAATAATGTTACCAAATGATCGATGACACAATAAACCACTCATAATATTCAAAAATATGACGATACTTTTGAGAACGATCATTTCAGGCAATGCCTGAAAAATTTAATAAGGCCTAGCCATTGCTAGGCCTTACGCTACATACATGTTTCGACAGATCCTACTGTCACATCAGTGTACAGAGATTCCATATAGGCAATCTTATTTAAACGAGGTGAAGTTTATAATACGTCAATCTATACGTAATTCAACCGTATCAAGTTGTAAACACCAAGATCATGAATAAAAACAATGTATAATTAATGGTAAACGGAATGAAGTAAAATCAGAATGACAAAGTTAAATTAACAGGGTAAAGTTGTTTGTTGAGTGAGGGCTGCTCCCATTGAATATGTAATACCTCCTTTATTTTGAGATGATGAATTGATGGGGCGGAGTCAAGAATACGGAAACAGTTCTTGCTACAAGTTTGCATCATTTCGTGAATTCTTAAGGTGTTTTAATATGTGAGAGTTCCTATCTATCGCTAAGTGCTCGCGCACGCGTATTGAGAAGTGTCGGCTAGTTTCTCCGACATAACTGGCATTACAGTCAGCACACACAAAATTTTATTTATTTATTTTTTTAAAAATTGTTTTTAAAATATTTATATTGTTGTAATATATTTGTTATTTCTTTATATGAAAGTATGTATATAAGTATTTACATTTTTCTATATTTTATTTATATTATTTATTAATTTTAATTTGTATAGAATGCATTAATATTATTTAATATACTATAGTAATAACATAAATATTACATATATAAAAATTAAATAATTTATTCATATATATTTTGTTGTTGTATATTTATATTGTTGCCATATATTTCTTATATATTTATATTTATTATTACCAGTATTAACAATGATATTTTTTAACATGTATAACGACTAATGAAAAATGCATATTTAACACTAGACCTGATCATAAGTAACTATCACAAAAATCCAGCTGCAGGCCGATTCAAGAGTCCCCACTTGCTAGACATTTTAGAGATCCAGTCAAAGTTTCCCCCTACAAAGTTTCCCCCTTGTCAAGCCCCCCTAACCAAGTCGCTCCCCCCCACCTAGCAAAGTCGCCCCTTAACCAAGTCGCCCCCTTGACTAATATTGAATATTATTTTTAACTAACCTTTGAAACTTACTCAGAACTTATCTATATATCTGTATATATAAGATGTGTATAAGAGACAGTGTAGGCTTCCCTTTTTTTTTTTTTTTTTTTACTATAGAGAGGGCGCACTTTATTGACTGTATAAAGCCTGTCTCTTATACACATCTAGATGTGTATAAGAGACAGATATATATAGGCCAACAAAATTATGTTGTGTGCCCTGCGTGACCGACCTAAATTTTCCAATAATTCAGGTCGGCATTTAAAACTTTTATTTTTTTTTAAATTTTGTTCAAAGGTCTTCCTTTCACTCAAGTACAATTTCGAGAAATACCGTATCCGAAATTAACATTACAACATAAAATCTAAAACAGACATTGTATTTTGACCAAAATTGGGCCACAGAAGCACACGTAAAATCGGTAAAATAGAAGGCATAATTTTGAGAACCGATCGCGACGACGGTGAAGATATATGCACGAACATCGGATCTCTCGCAACCCACGACCCCATCTAGTCTATTCTTTATACTGAACAACTAGTGTTTGCCGGAATGAAACATTGTATTCATTATCTTACGATATATTTGATAATATCCACACGGGTCTTGCCATCGTTTTAAAGCCTGTACATAGCTAGACATCTTAGGCTCCGTTTATGCCAACCATGAACGAAATATTATATCTTATGTTTTCCTCAAAGTTTACTTCGATAGCATTACTATACTCAGGACGCTTGCTGGTGCGGATCCAGAAATTTTCTAACTGGGGAGGGGCCCAATAGGTAGTCCAGTGGCGGATCCAGGATTTCAAAATACAGGGGCCTAGACATGGATTTTGACAGACCGAAAATCTAAACCACCTCAGCCCCACAGTGGTTGGGGCTAAGGTATTACAATTTATGATTATGACACCTTTAGATGGCCGGAAATGGCAATCGCAGACTTAATTGAAGTTTTACATTTTCCCTTTTTCTCCCTTTTTTGAAGAAAATTAAGGGAATGGGGGAGCGGCCGGCTCAGATCCCCTTGAATCCGTCACTGTCCTCTCACTCACCTCAGCCCCACCATGGTTGGGGCTGAGGTGAGCAAATTTTAAAAATCGACCCCTCTAGACACTCGGAAATGGCACTCTCTGCTGGTCAAAATGCTTTTTCAAAGCAGTGTTAAAATTATTGACTTCCTCTAGACGGGAGATATGCTACCACTCCCTGAGACACCCCTCCCCTCACGGGCGCCGCAAATCTCATCAAGGACTCTAGAGTTGGAGTTGCAAAACAAATTATGGTTATGACACTCATTCAGACCTAAATATTTATATTTTACCATGTTTTAAAAAATGACAAATGTAGAGGTTCTGCCCTCACCGGCTGGGGCACGTTCCCCCTTGTTTTTGCCTCTAAATTTTAAACATTTCAATGCATATTAATGCTATGTGCTACTCACTTATCTATTCTGAACATGTTTTGCTCCCCCTGCTACCCCACCTCCCCCTCACCACTGCTTGAACAATTATGGATCTACCCTTTGAAATATACTGAGATTGAAGTTCTTGTGCTACAAAGACCTTTAAGCTTTTAGCCTATATTTTATTTATTTATTTATTTATATATTTTTACTTTTTTTTTTTTTTTATAGAAAAAGTGGTCCGGCCATAGCCGGTGCTGCCGGTACGGTTCCGACGGCCCTGCAGTGTTTTTATGGGCTTCACCCATCCACTCTCAAGATCCCCCTCGATAGAAAATTATTGAGACATTTTTTATAAAATACAAATATCATTTTTAATTATGGAGGTATAAAATATTATTATTATATTATATTATATTATTATACCTCCATGCTTTAATGCATAAAAGCGGGACAGTGTGCGAGATGCCAAGTACAAAAACAAATACTACGTACTTTATTGACTGTATAAAGCTTTGTCTACACTATCAAATTTCATCAAAATAGCGTCACATAAATGTAATGGAAAGTAAGAATTGAACACGTTATACATTTTTGATACAATTTGATAGTATGTGATATGACGTCATCGTACCCATATATAATTGGCACATCACATTTTTGTCGCATAAAATTTGACAAATTAGACAAAGCTTTAAGTGTACTATACAAAAGTGATAGCATTCCAGAGGATGCGATCTACAACCTCTGAATTTGCGTGATAACGAAGACGTCTTCGAGATAATGGTAATTTCCAATGAGAAATAGTCTCTTTTTCTCTTTTTTTTTTATCCTTTTGCGTAAAACTAAAATTTATGCCAATATTGTTCCATGATTTATAATAATTAGAGTAATACATATTCATTTTTCTAAAAAAAAAACTCTTTTTTCAGTAAATTTTTTGCCGAGAATTGGGCTTTAATATACAGTGTGTAGCATCTTTTGTTTTTATACTAGACCTACTGATGAGCCAGATAAATGTGATGTATGTGGTCTATGCTCCATGGAAAAGAATTGTCGTATAACATGTGATAAAGATAAGTGTCAGGCAGAACTTGGTTTTGTTTGGGAAGAAGGTTAAGTTTAAGTTTCTATTATTTCATCTGACGGGTTAAAGATATTGTCTACAGTACATAAAAAATGGAGAAAAAACTCTTTCAAGTACTAAATTAAAACAATGAATTGCTTTTTACAAACAATACTGTTATTTGTAAAAAAAATACTACATTTTGGAAAGAATTAAACAGTAAACTTGATTTAATTCCGTCTACTCATTGATGATAACGTTATTTCTGTTGACGAAAGAGAAGAATTTTGTTGTTGCGTGCTTTTGGATGAAATATTAATGATTCATATAAGGCACATACAGACAATAAATTACACAATTCATGTTCAAATTTTCTATTTTCTGTCATTATAAAACACAATCATCAGAATTAAATTTTGATAGATTATATATAGCTGAAATAATTTAAAACTTCGAAGTCATTGGAAGACGTAGGCCTATTTTTTTATTTGCCTCTTAACATTTTATAATAATGATTTATAACAATTTATTTCATTTACATCCGACAGCAATTAACTCACCAATTACGGTATACAACGATGCTGGATAAACCCAGTCTCTTTATGCGGCTTTGAGTGTTGGGGAGGGGGAGGGGTGTTTATAGGAATTGAACACAGGATCCTACCACCAAACTACACATTTAAGATCCCTGTTTGTTACTTCCGTTTGCAAGCTTGCTATAGAAGATTATTTTCTCTACTGATTTTTTGTTGTTGATAGTTTGCTCTAATACAACGATGTGGTAACAGAGTCGAACGAAGGGTTTCTGTCAAAGAAAATGTGAAACGGGATTTTCTTGATATATAAATTAATTCTTATAATGCATAAATATACCTGAAAAAATGGACTGTAAAGAATCAGATACCTATAGAACTAAAAAGTAAATATTATTTCGATTAAATAAAATCATTTGAATGAATTAAATCATTAGGTAAGGGGTGAGGTTGTTATAGGTTCTATATATGTGGACGTTACATACAATCAAATAAATAACACTAGCCATGGTCGACAGAAACGAACACCACCAACAGTAAGCAAAACCGATAATTCACACTGTCCAACTGTAGGTCAGAGTATATAACCAAGGCAATTCAATTGCTTTGGTACTAATAAGATAAACATATTTTACTGTAAATATTTTAGTAACATTATTTTTGTAAACGTAATTACAACATTTTGAATTTACAAAGATCTTTTGTAATGTGTTATGGGCATGTAATATACAGGATGTAATGTTTCCGTTCTCTTCTATTTTTATAGCTTGCTCAAACTTAATGGTGTGTGAAAGCCTACAACCAATGCTCAAAAACAAATGCAAAAAAGGTACGCCATAATACCCCGAATAGAAACGGTTATAAACGTTGATCATTTATTTAATTTCTGGTTTTAGTTTTTCTCCGACTGGAGTTCACATTCTTTAGGTACGGCAATAATTATTATAGTTTGTATACGCTTTATATAAATAAGGGTAGAAAATGTTTGAAAACAAGAAATAGCATAAAAAGTTTGTGATCGAACATTGAGGTTTGTTGGACACTAACATTGAGCCAACGAAGAAAACCTCAAAGATGTTCTGTTCTGTTGGAAACGTACAAATGGAAAACGTTAAAGAGGGAGACCGTCTATCATTTCATAGGATTCCGTATGTAATAAACCATTCTTCTGACGAGTTGAATGTTCTGGTTGTGGTGGGTAAAACCGACATCTTATGAGGTCTTCAAAATTAGGAGTATAATAGGTAAGGGGGGGGGGGGGGGGAAATACAGTCTAATAATAGGAAAGGTATACCACCTTTGGTTGTAAGGGGGGTTATAGGTTCTATATATGAGGATTTTACATACAATAAAAAAAAATAACACTAACCATGGTCGACAGAAACGAACACCACCAACAGTAAGCAAAACCGATAATTCATGCTGTCCAACTGTAGGTTAGAGTGTATAACCAAGGCAATTCAATTGCTTTGGTACTAATAGGATAAACATCTTTTACTGTAAATATTTTAATAACATTATTTTTTGAAAACGTAATTACAACATTTTGAATTTACAAAGATCTTTTGTAATGTGTTATGGGCATGTAATATATAGGATGTAATGTTTCCGTTCTTTTCTATTTTCATAGCTTGCTCAAACTTACAGACGTGTGAAAGCCTATCACTAATGTGCAAAAACAAATGCAAAGAAGGTACGCCATAATACCCCGAATAGAAACGGTTATAAACGTTGATCATTTATTTAATTTCTGGTTTTAGTTTTTCTCCGACTGGAGTTCACATTCTTTAGGTAAGGCAATAATTATTATAGTTTGTATACGCTTTATATAAATAAGGGTAGAAAATGTTTGAAAACAAGAAATAGCATAAAACGTTAGTGATCGAACACTGAGGTTTGTTGGACACGAACATTGAGCAAACGACGAAAACCTCAAAGATGTTCTGTTCTACTGGAAACGTACAAATGGAAAACGTTAAAGAGGGAGACTGTCTACCATTTCAAAGGATTCCATACGTAATAAACCATTTTTCTGACGAGTTGAATGTTCTGGTTGTGGTGGGTAAAACCGACCTCTTATGAGGTCTTCAAAATTAGGAGTATAATAGGTAAGGGGGTGGGGGTGTAGAAATACAGTCTAATAATAGGAAAGGTATACCACCTTAGGTTGTAAGGGGGGTTATAGGTTCTATATATGAGGAATTTACATACAATAAAAAAAATAACACTAACCATGGTCGACAGAAACGAACACCAACAACAGTAAAGCAAAACTGATAATTCACGCTGTCCAACTGTAGGTCAGAGTATATAACCAAGGCAATTCAATTGCTTTGGTACTAATAGGATAAACATCTTTTACTGTAAATATTTTAGTAACATTATTTTTTGAAAACGTAATTACAACATTTTGAATTTACAAAGATCTTTTGTAATGTATTATGGGCATGTAATATATAGGATGTAATGTTTCCGTTCTTTTCTATTTTCATAGCTTGCTCAAACTTACAGGCGTGTGAAAACCTACCACTAATGTGCAAAAACAAATGCAAAGAAGGTACGCCATAATACCCCGAATAGAAACGGTTATAAACGTTGATCATTTATTTAATTTCTGGTTTTAGTTTTTCTCCGACTGGAGTTCACATTCTTTAGGTAAGGCAATAATTATTATAGTTTGTATACGCTTTATATAAATAAGGGTAGAAAATGTTTGAAAACAAGAAATAGCATAAAACGTTAGTGATCGAACACTGAGGTTTGTTGGACACGAACATTGAGCCAACGACGAAAACCTCAAAGATGTTCTGTTCTACTGGAAACGTACAAATGGAAAACGTTAAAGAGGGAGACCGTCTAGAATTTCAAAGGATTCCATACGTAATAAACCATTTTTCTGACGAGTTGAATATTCTTGTTGTGGTGGGTAAAACCGTCCTCTTATGAGGTCTTCAAAATTAGGAGTATAATAGGTAAGGGGGTGGGGGTGTAGAAATACAGTCTAATAATAGGAAAGGTATACCACCTTAGGTTGTAAGGGGGGTTATAGGTTCTATATATGAGGAATTTACATACAATAAAAAAAATAACACTAACCATGGTCGACAGAAACGAACACCAACAACAGTAAAGCAAAACTGATAATTCACGCTGTCCAACTGTAGGTCAGAGTATATAACCAAGGCAATTCAATTGCTTTGGTACTAATAGGATAAACATCTTTTACTGTAAATATTTTAGTAACATTATTTTTGAAAACGTAATTACAACATTTTGAATTTACAAAGATCTTTTGTAATGTGTTATGGGCATGTAATATATAGGATGTAATGTTTCCGTTCTCTTCTATTTTTATAGCTTGCTCAAACTTAAGGGTGTGTGAAAGCCTACAACCAATGTGCAAACAAAAATGCAAAAAAGGTACGCCATAATACCCCGAATAGAAACGGTTATAAACGTTGATCATTTATTTAATTTCCAGTTTTAGTTTTTCTCCGACTGGAGTTCACATTCTTTAGGTAAGGCAATAATTATTATAGTTTGTATACGCTTTATGTAAATAAGGGTAGAAAATGTTTGAAAACAAGAAATAGCATAAAACGTTAGTGATTGAACATTGAGGTTTGTTGGACACTAACATTGAGCCAACGACGAAAACCTCAAAGATGTTCTGTTCTGCTGGAAACGTACAAATGGAAAACGTTAAAGAGGGAGACCGTCTATCATTTCAAAGGATTCCGTACGTAATAAACCATTCTTCTGACGAGTTGAATGTTCTGGTTGTGGTGGGTAAAACCGACCTCTTATGAGGTCTTCAAAATTAGGAGTATAATAGGTAGTGGGCAGGGGAAGGTGTAGAAATACAGTCTAATAATAGGAAAGGTATACCACTTTAGTTTAATATGCTCAGGTGTATATGGATAATTAGCATTCCTTGGAACACGGAAACATTCACTATGAACCGACAAAGATCAACTAGTAAAGTAAGCATAAAACTACCATGGTCGCCAAGACAGAACCAACACCAACATCATCGTTTGCCAATATTTCTTAGTTGCAAGCGTGTATGCTGTTAGTAATGGTGGTAGTGAGTGGCTCCTAGATAAGGCTTCTCCGGTCCTCTACCTTCTGGCGTTTTTGAAGGTCCAACGCCGTATATGTTAGACGTTATTTTATTTCTATTAAGCTTATCGTCCTGGCTTAAAATGGTCCGGAGCCCGAGCTCATGTGTTACGACACTCCGTCAGTGTCTAGCTTTGACACTGACAGAAAAAGACCTACATCAAAGACCTACATAATTTGTTAAAATATTTGTTATTCACATTTTTTAGGTTATTTTGTGATTACAGTATGTAGGACTATCTTGAAGTGGTTATGTTGTTGGACTGCTTGCTGTTAAAGATTTACTTTCTTTTCTATTTTGCATAGATTGCAACGCATTAGAGAATGTGTGTAAAAGTACATGGTGGCAAACCTGTACACATGATACTCCTACGACAGGAGATCCAGGTAAGAAAGATTGTGAACATTGGTATTACTAATTCTATGTAGTAGACAAAAAGTGGTGTTAACGATAATTATAGTATCGTTCTTTAAAAAAGCAAATTGCAAAATATTTTCAAAAAACTTTGAAAAATAAAAGCACATCACGGCTGCTTGTGGGTTGTGAGGTGCCTAAATATGTGGGGTACAGCGCATCGTATCTGTAAAGAGAGGCGCTTTATAAATGTTCTGATTGAATTGGATTGGGTAAAAATAATTAACTTGAACATAGACATGAGTTGTTTTAAAATGTTTTACCAATAAATTTATTCAGGAATTGTTTATAAAAATACTAATTTATGTGCCATCTAGCCCATTATTCATCTATCCATCTATCCACCCATCCGCCCATTCACCCATCCGTCCGCCCGCTGCTCTGACATGTTTATCCATTTATCAATCAAACAATCAACTAGTCAATCCATTTATTTTAATTATGCAAATATTTAAGCAAGCAATTATTTAATTACTTTAATAATTAATCAATCAATCAATTTACTTAATTATTCTACTAATCAATAAAATTATCAATAAATGATTTTATCAACCAACAGGCAGATTAAAACCAACCAACTTATCTACCAACTAAACAATAAGCCAACTAACTAATGGTTAAAACAAACCTAAGAAACGATCTACCTACATTCCTACTACTGATCAATCGGTTAATCAATACATTAATCAATCAATCAAGTGAATAAATAAATAAATGAATAAATTTCAGGTAAAACAGAAGAAATAGGTGATGATAAGAAGTAAACAACAGTCAGGTCATTAATGGTGTAGTAAGACTACAATCTTTCTACCTTAAATTTTGTATTCAGTGCATGAATGAATGAATGAATCAATCAATCAATCAAAGCGACTCTCGAATGTCCGAGCGCTTAAGGCAGGGGCACCGCAACCTACAGCCATAACATCGGCGCTGGTTCGAACGGTACGCTCACCTGGTTCTCGAGGTAGAGCGAGTCTTCTCGGAAGGACTATACACCAGTCTGTCGGTCGGTTGTTCAATCGGGCGGTCGGTTGACTGATCAACCAACTAACCTACTCAGTCAGTTTATCCTGGTGGTAGCCACTGGTTGTGCGCAAAAATATGAAAATCTCTAGGTACCGGTTCGATTCCTATCGTTAACGAACCTTCTTTCGGACAGGACGTTTATTACGCTGATTGGTTCCGTGTAAGCATTATGGGCAATGTGAACGTTAAAGAACACAGTACACTTTTCAGGAAATAAAAAAATGACTTGTTTTCCGATATACTGACCAATTACCACCAGAAGAACCCCAATAGATATAAGTTTAATTCAGATTTGCATGGGTTATCTTTGGTGTTTACACCAAATCAATCAATCAATCAAGTAATCAATCAACTATATTTTTATTATTAATTATTCAAGCAAACAATTTAAAATCATTCAATCGATTTATTTAATTATTAAATCATTTTAATAATTTATTAACTAAACAATCACTCAAATGATCAATAAATTAATTAATCAACCAGAAAAACAATCGACCGATTAAAGAACACAGTTTATCTGCGAACTAACAACCTACCAGTTCCCCTACAGTGCCTACTAACCAACTAAATACTAATCAACATTAACACACTCCAACCAAACAATCTACCTATCGACTAGTTGATAAATCGGTAATTCAATCAATCAATTTAATAAATTTCAGGTAAAACGGACGAAATACATCATGAAAAGATGACTAAAATCGCTGATGATAAACGACAAGGTAATAACAGTCCAAACACTAATGGTATAGTAGGCCTACAATTTCTTTCTACTTGAATCAAATAATAAGTCAGTCAATCAATATATATATTTTATTATTTAATCATTCAAGCAAAACAATTTAAAGTTAATCAATGAATCAATTTATTTTATTATTCAATTAGTTAATCTAATAATTTATCAATTAATCAATCACGCAATTAATCAATACATGAATTATTGAACCAACTAACCAATCGACCGATTAAAGCAACCAACTTATTTACCAACTAAACAACCAACCAACTTCCCTAATCAACATTTAAAACAACTCAACCAAACCTCAACCTATCGACTAACTGATTAATCGGGTTATCAATCAATCAATCAATCAATCAATTGAATAAATGATTAATAAAGAATAATTAAAACAGACGAAAAATATGGTGATAAGATGACTACACCAAAAACCACTTATAATCATCATACTGATTGTTTTATAATGTTATGTATAACGCATAGAGGTACTGCACAATATGCGCTATACAAATGTAAATTCATATTATTATTATTATTATTATTATTATTATTATTATTATTATTATTATTATTATTATTAATATTATTATTATTATTATTATTATTATTATTTCTATATTTTATACAATAATATATTAAAATTATAAATGCAAGTTTCTATTAATTAACTAATCTGCAGTACCGATCCTTTAATCAATCAATCAATCAATCAACCAAATCAACCAATCAACAAAACAACCAGGCAGACAACTAAACAATCAACCAATCGACCAACCGACTGACCGTGCGATCGATCAATCAACCTATTAATCAATATATCAGTTAACCGATTAAACAAATTTTTTATAGATGGAAAAGATGATGAAAATAACCATACGGCCACCATTGCAGCTACAGCATCGGTTGTGTCTTTGTTTATAATTATATTGACTGGCATTATCGTAATGATTTTGTTTCTCATGAAAAAGAAATCGAAAAAGGGGCAAGTATTTTATTCTTGAAAACAGTTATTGAAAATAAGTTTATGATTTTTTTTAGGCTAAGATAATGAAACTTTATCCGTAGAAGAAAGTATGTGCATAAACAGACGAAAACTGATGATGTATCTCTATCCGCTAAGCCCCACCAGGAGTGACGCCAATGGGAGGACCGGGGTCCCCCGCTGTCGGAAAAAGTTTCCTCCCTGTTAGAGCCGGGAGAAAAACAATTCGCCTGGGAGAAAACAATATTACATGCATCTTGCAATGTATACAACTTCACCGACACCACGAAGAGACACAAACTTCAATTTCGACCAAAACAACGTTTTAACGTAGATTCACAAAACCGTCAGTTTTACATTATGTTCAAAGATATTATTTATTTTTTGATCAAATTTTTAGTTTTGTTTATATTGTTTTCTTTGTCGCTTACCGTATAATTAACAGCCGGAGTATTATCCAAGATAACACACAGAAGGGTCCTACTACAAGCTGTGCAAATTTATATAATAGACCTAAGAAAATCACTTAGGCCTATGTATTTTTATTCACTGAGATGATTATTATAATATACCGCTACATTTACAGCATTCATGCCTCGGCCTTTAAGCTCCGAGTCTTTATCTATAAAAGTAATGTTGATAGTGCTTAGGCTACTCAGGTCGCTAAATCGCTATAGAAGTCGGCTGAGCCATGTTGAATTGCCTTGGCCGAGCCAAAGGCGAGTCGACATGAGGAAGTATGCTACACGGAACTGATAAAAGAAAACAAATATCATGCAACTGTTTGGCTGTATTATTTCATAGTAAATAAACAACTGACTGAACACTTTTAGGAAATCAGAAACTGAAAATCATAGCATGAATAGCATATAATAATATTATACTTCATTTTTAAACTTGTGTTTTGTTTTAGGACTAGGCCTCAAATGGTGTCACATGTGGACAACATTATGTATGGGACTACAGGTATAGGTAATCAGTTTATTAAAAAAATTTACTTAACACTTAGAAATATACTCTTATATACATAGGCTTACTACTACTACTACTACTACCGTACTACTACTACTACTACTACTACTACTACTACTACTACTACTACTACTACTACTACTACTACTACTAACTAATAAAATAACAATAACAATAGAATAATTAGGCCTCAAATAATGATCGAATTGAGTATAAACCTAAAGAATTAAGAAGGAACCTAAAATGACTGACGTGTTATAATTATACTGCCATTATTTTTCGACTCACGACGAGCTGGAGTCAAACGCAGATGTGTATAAGAGACAGGGGATGTATACCCCTTGCGTAGGCAGTGATACAGCGATACACAGCACCAAAACAGACAATATACTATGGGACAACACGCACATCTTCGAAGTAAGATAAATTAAGCCAAACTTATGTATAAAATAAAATCCGAGTTTTTATCACGTAGCTTCAGTGAAACTATTCCAATATTTTCGTGTTTTTATTTACAATCAAACTGCTGTTTATAATACTCAATTGAAAAACACTTTTCTCCCAGGAGAGATTCAGCGGTGATCCATCTATTCATCCAACGTGATAATGATGTAATATTGTCGCAAGCGTCACAAACGCGCCAATATTATGTACTGATGGGTGTAACTATGTTATAACTATTTCCTCAAATTTTCTCACCTCAGCCCCAGCCATGGTGGGGCTGAGGTGGTTGTGAAATCACGTTTTTGAAGTAGGCCTATGTAAAGTACATACTCAAAGACAATGTTTTTAAGCTTTGTTTTTTATGCTATACACACACATTAATAAGATCTCTATGGTTGTCAAAAATCCCTGATAAAAGAACATGAGAATTTTTTTGGCGCTTCATTTTGACTAATGGTGATGTGATGATGATGAATTTTACTAAAAGTGTCATTTCTGGCCATCTATAGGTACTATTTCCTCAAATTTTCTCACCTCAGCTCCAACCATTGTGGGGCTGAGGTGGGTGTCGACTCACAAAATGCCCTCCCCCTCCACCTTTCAAAACAGATCTGTGCCCTTCCCTGGGTATATGACATTAAACTCCAGCGAGTCGGCTCCTGGTGTATGTCTTAGTGACTGCTGTTTGTTTTTAGGATGTGATCTGGTTTTTCATGTCCATTTTTTGTGATTATGACTATTTTGGATAAAGAATGTTTTGAGCAGAGATGGATTCAAAGCCCCCCCCCCCTTCATTTTTTTAAGGAAAAAAAAAAGAAAAATATATTAAAATTGTGCGAGTGTAATTTCCGGCCATCTAGAAATGCCCTAATCATAAAATTTTCTTACCTCAGCCCCAACCATGGTGGGGCTGAGGTGGGTGGTTCCTCGGTCTGTGAAACTCTCTCCCTGGTTCACCTCTCTTTCGAATTACTGGATTTGCCACTGTTGATTTATTATATAATTATTTTTGCGCTTATTTATAAAGCGTCTATTGCAATTTTCACTTTATCCTCTCAAACAGTCCTAAGAACGTTCAGTGTGCGCTAATTCAGAGGGGGATTCACCCCATTGACCCCGCCGAGATCCTGTAATTCTCATAACGGCTCCCCCCTTTCAAAATCCTGGCTACGTCCCTAACATTAGCAGCATTCATGCCTCGGCCTTTAAGCTCCGAGTCTTTATCTATAAAAGTAATGTTGATAGTGCTTAGGCTACTCAGGTCGCTAAATCGCTATAGAAGTCGGCTGAGCCATGTTGAATTGCCTTGGCCGAGCCAAAGGCGAGTCGACATGAGGAAGTATGCTACACGGAACTGATAAAAGAAAACAAATATCATGCAACTGTTTGGCTGTATTATTTCATAGTAAATAAACAACTGACTGAATACTAATAGGAAATCAGAAACTAAAAATCATAGCATGAATAGCATATAATAATATTATACTTCAATTTTAACCTTGTGTTTTGTTTTAGGACTAGGCCTCAAATGGTGTCACATGTGGACAACAATATGTATGGGACTACAGGTATAGGTAATCAGTT